GATCAAGTGGTCAATGTCCTCCTGTGGTATCTCATTCCAGGCAACCACCAACTCCTCTCGAAGTGCTTCTAGAGTCTGAGGAGGACGTTGCAAATTGAGCAATCTCCTACCCATCATATCCCACACGTGCTCAATTGGGGATAAGTCGAGAGATCTTGGTGGCCATGGTAACAATGTAACATCATTATGTTGAAAGAAGTCTATTGTGACTCTTGCAACATGTGGTCGGGCATTATCTTGTTAGAAAGTTGGATCTGCCAGGGTGTCAAGATAGGGTAAAAGATGGGGTTCTAGAACTTCGTGGATATAACGCTGCGCGTTCATGTTACCTCTGATGAAGATTAAAGGTGACTTGGAACCATAAGCTATAGCACCCCAAACCATAACTCCAACAGTGTGATGAACATGTCTTTCAACAAAAAACTGTGGATTCCTCCTTTCACCACGTCGCCTTCTAACCCTGGCACGACCATCGTGCATGCCTAAACAAAATCGAGACTCGTCACTAAAGACAATACTGTTCCATTCCTGATCCCAGAGTGACCGTTGTCTGCACCACTCAAGGCGATTACGTCGGTGTTCTCGAGTTAAAGGGAGGACCCAGTGTGGCCGGTATGTATTCGTCAGTAAACACTTCGCATGCCAATAGGTCTTCCGTGTTCTGCAAACCATTCATTTGCAATGGACCTGGTAGTGGAGAAACGGTCCCTTAAGGCCAATAATCTTAGGCGGCGATCTTCACGGTCTGTTGTTCTACGGCGGCGTCCAGTGCCCCTTGCTCTTTGCGTACGGCCTTCTCGAAGCCATGCCTGACAACACCTAACCACAGTGTCTACACTTCTTTGCACTCTAACTGCAATTGCCCGAAAATAAAGTCCAGCTTCCCGAAGTCCACACTATACGGCCCCTATCAAACTCACTAAGTTGACGAAATCGTACAGGTCTCCGTACTCTTGGCATCGTAACCGATCGTGAAGGATGTCAAGAACCAAAATCCGCCAACGTTGATTCTTTACTGCGGCTGAAATATTCATTTTTAGAGCGTTAGTGAATTAAAAAAAAGCAGTATAAAAACCGGAATGTCCAACTGATAAGGCTGAAAATTTTTTCACTTGTTATTTACAGTAAGATAAATACATTCACCAACTTTTATTAAAATAAAACCATTTAAACTGGGTGTTCGGATTTATATGTCACTTAGTATAGTAATAATGTTTGATTCATTTTTGGTTTCTTACGCAGTCAGCAGTGAAAAAATATGGTAATCGCGAAATCGAATTTCAGATAATTTATAATTCAGTTAAAATCTTCTCAATGCTTTTGTTAGTAAATCCAAGGCAATGCCAGTGCATAGATGTAGAGGGAAAGTTACAATGTTAACGGTAACATCGGGATCTGATTTTGCCATTAGCGCCACAGCAAGAAAAATGACCATACTGAAACTTTTACAGTTAAACCGAGATAAACGATAAACGCATAGGAAGAAAAGGTATCTCTCTGTACAATCTGTGACTTCTTGATTCATTGCCGTATTCGTTGGTTCCTCGTCGCAATGTAAACCTGCTTTTTGTCTTATTTGTCTATCGGAAAATGTATCTTTTATTTCGGAAGATAAGTCAGAGCCCTTAATACCAATTTCAAAATGATGTGGTATTGTAATAATACGTCGGGCTTGCCATGTTTTACATGAGAGGCAGTCCAAAGTCGTTACCGTTACATAATAAAGCTCATCCGATAAACATGTAATAAAAGTTGCACTTCCATAAAAGCACACGACAGGCCGTAAAGAAGAAAACGAGATGACTCGTCTAGAACTCGTTTCTTGACCTTAAGCCACACATTCACACTCGGCGCATGAAAGTCAGGCTGGTAATTCTTTGATTTTGTACCACAGAAAGTAACCCTATTAGAGGAAATTTTAAGTTTACAAACCGTTTAGTGAAAATGTGTGACACGCGTTGCTCTGCGAGAATATGGGTCAATTTTAATTTTGTAATTTGCGAATAATGTGAAAAATCATTTATTTTACTCAACAAGTTATTTTATCACTGATCACTGACCCATATTTAAACATGGAAAATGCCAGACAAAATCAAGTACACTCTAAGAATTTCAGTCAGTAACAATCAATCAATATACAGGGTGGCGCATCGAAAACGAAATAGACGCGTTTACTGGCAGCTTAGTTTTTTTTAAACGCTCAGACCGGTCGATTTTGTGTTCGAGGGGGACACAAGTTTGGCAAAAAATCACGTTAGCACGTGCAGCCCCCTATTTGTATTTTACATAATTATTAAGGGAATTGAAAGACCTTTAAAATAAGGTATCACTCGACCCCCCTTTCCATTTAAGATTTTAGGGTTGATGTCACCCCCGCCTAGGGGGCTGCAAGTGTTACCGTGATTTTTTGCCAAACTTGTGTCCCCCTCGAAAACAAAATCGACGGGTCTGAGTGTTTTTCCAAAAAAAAAACTGAGCTGCCAGTAAATGCGTCTGTTTCGTTCTCGATGCGCCACCCTGTATATATAAATATTTTAATTAATTAAAATGATATTTTACTGGACGCTCACATGAACCAACTTCTTCTGGACATGCATTAATGTACGTGGTTAGATGGTAAAAAGGGAACTTACCGCTGAAGAGGTTAAAATCCTATAAAAATGCAAACAACATCCAAAACAGACTATTAAAGGTAAGGTAGATGAGAAATGGGGCGCTACTCCATAAGCTGGTGATTGCGGCCCAATATCCCAAAATTTGGAAACGAAATGGAGGGCCGATACACCTTTTCAACTAAAGCTTCAACAGAAAATGTCCAACACCAATTTGTCCGATCTCCGGTCAGTTTACTGTCAGTCAACGTTAAAACTAGGAAGGCGCATCAAAATGCAGCTACGACTCCACAGGGTCGATATCGTTACAACCAAAATTTACGGTGCAAAAAAGCCCTAAAACACTCACAAGTCAAATTTTTGGATACCAGAATCGAGCGAAGAATTTTCAAGTTATTGTAAAAAATTTGACAATTTATTATTTACCTTGATTACCTCTATTCGCAAAACATTGACTTCTAACTCTGCGATGAAACGTGCTCCGACACGTAAACCCAAACATGAATTACAAATCAAAATATCTTAATTTTTGTTTTTACTCGTATTTATTATTCTATAAAGATCCATTCCGCAACTTTGTAGAAAATGTATCTTAGTTATATAGATACATATATAGATAGTCAACAACTATCTTACTGTGATTTATAAAATATAAAATATTTCTAAGATAAATGCGTTTCTACAATAATTGTTATTAAATAGAGCCTGTATCAGTTCCACTTGGAATGGAATTCGAGTTTCAGTTTAGCTAAAGTTGACCTCATCTTTTAATCTTGCTTCTTCCAATACAATATACAGAATAATTGAATAATGTTACGAACTAATATGTTGAGAATTAGAATCCAATAAAATCTGATCGCCTTATTCTAATTTAATGAATATTCTGTGAAATGTTACAACATCCTTCTAAAATGTTTACTATATGGAAAGAATATCCGTCTGAAATTCTGCTCGCATGTAGGCATTGAATTCCTAGCTGATAAAGCGTTTGTTTTTCTCAGAACTTCGTATTTCCGTTGTAGAGAAACGACGAACGACGACGGTCAAATGGCACTAATGAAATGATATTATATTGTTACGCTAAAATATATGCGCGACACAAATAACTTGCTTCTTTGATAAGAAAACAATTTTTAACTATGTCCGAAACATATTTCTCACTCGTGAGCGAACGAAGAATTGTGATTGTGAAACATTGGAAAATATTTAAATAGATCAAAGGTATTTAAGTGTATCGCTTTGGTATTTTTTGGGATCAACATATTTCAAAAAACATTGAATTTTCAGATAGCCTACAAATAAAACTGCGCGCTCAAAAATAACCAGAAGCATAGAAAATATTCCCTACAAATATTTTTTTATTTACACTCAAAAATACGTAAAAATGATTTTCCCGAAAGGCATCTAACCATCAATGCTCCGATTAGAGGTTGTAAGAAACCTGTGAACATAGATACAAGTACATGCAGTACCATTGACTTTAATCGTTTGAAAGATTAGGTGATTTGTTCGTAATCAAAATACATAAATTCACATAGTGGTTTTAGAACCGATCCTTGTGGAGCTCCTAGGGGAAAGCTTACCAAATACGACGTAGCATAGAAAGGTTAGTCGTACTTTCTTTATTTTACACAACCGACAAGTTTGATAACCCTCTTGTTTTGACGATCATCGTTCAATAAAAAACATCCTCGAAGAGCCAGAAAGTAGATCACATTGAAAACAAAACTGTCAGAGCCCACCGATACTGGCATTTATAGTACCTTACAAAATGCCGGCCGGTATAGTCACATTCTCACCGACACTGTGACATTTCATACGAACAAGCGACGAAAGCAAACTTGTACTTACCTTTTCGTTTCTATCTGCGACCGCCGGTTCGACAACGAGTATCACTAGCAGGCCCAGAGCCCGACACAGCCCTGGCCGTAGCAACATGACCGACTGACTCCATCTTTCTTCTTACCAGCGCGAAAGCTCAAAGCTCCCCACCATCTCTTCTTTCGGCCGATCTCAGCATCCGTCGCGATCACTTTAACGCCCAATTTCAACGTTTTACTTTGCAAATATACCCTTCAAACTCACAAACAACACAAATAAAGGACCATTCTAAGCTGTTAAAAAGTTTCAATCAAATCGGTGCAGGGGTTGGGGAGATATAAGCTTCCGAAGTTTGTAAATCGTGGGTGCGCGGAAAGAGGTCCCGCTTTGGGGGCTCGTTTCAACCCCTTTAAGTCGGTGTATTCTGTTTAAACTTGAGAGAGGCTTTGATGAAACCTTTCTGAAGCTTCTTACAAAGTTTTATAAAAATACATCTATTACTTCCGAATTAATAGAGCCCTGAAGACCGTGATGTAATCCACACCGGAAAGGCGCTAAACGATGGATGCGCAAAGCGAGATGTCACTGTGAGGGCTTGTTTCACCCTCTTACATAAGTCGTATCTTATTCAAATTTTGAAGGTATATAGCCGGAAGCTTCCTAAATACTTGTAGAAAGTTTCGTGGAAATCCATCAGCCGGCTTAGAAGTTATTGGACGTAGAGTATATAGTTGTCAAGTTCGCGCAGAGGAAGACGTCGTATGGACCTGGTGAGTCCATCGGTCCCGGGATGGTCGCGTTTTCTTGTTGTCTCAGTGCTGGTGCAGCCGCGAACCGCGTGCGAAGCTGCCTTCGGATACGGCGTTAGAGCCACGGGGTTGTCGGCGAGAGTGCGGAGGACGTGCTACCCCTTATAGGGGGTGCCCAATTCTCAGGAGATATGAAAGGACATGGCATAGGGTGAGTTCAACTTTTCTTCAAAGCTCAATCTGGTCAGATATAGAGTTTTTTCGTTTTTTTAAACACCTCAGAAAACTCTTCCGATAAAACGAGAGCTTAGACTTGCTGAGAGGGGGTATTTTATAATTATAGACGTAAGAACATTACAAAGAATGAGTTCGGCAGCATTTTTCAATCTACGTTCTGCTTACACTCCATGTAAGATTTTAAAAGCCGATTGAAGGAAAGCTTAGACTTCATCTTTATAGATAGCCTTTTTTGAGGTACGGCACGCTGCACCATCTTGATGAAACACAAAATCTTGGCCGGATGTCAAACATTCTTCCATCACTAGTAAAAGCGATTCTTCTAAAATTGCCAAATATTTGTTTGTATCCACATTTCCATCAATAAAATGAAGTTTTCCTACTCCTTTTGATGACATACGGCCCCAGACCAGAATGGATGCTGGAAATTTCACTTTTCTCTGCAGACAGTCAACATGGACTACTTCATTTTTTTGCGAATAACTCTACTGCGACTGTCACCAACACAAACTTCGAATCGGGCCTCATCAGGTTTGGAAAGAAGTGAAAAATTTTTATTTTTCAAAATGTTGCGATGCTGGTCAACACTGCTATTTATCTTTTGTCTGGAATTTGTTATCTTTCTCGTTCAGCATGGAGATGTTTTCCAATAGGTAATAGACTCTATTAAATATAATAAAACCGTATAAATCTCTTTCTGTTCTGAAAATATCGAGATATGAATTTGATTAAAATTTTCCAAGTTGCATAGCAACTGTTCACCATTTTAGAGAGAAATGAAATGACATTGTCGATGGTGAATTCTGTGTTAATTTTTCAACATACGAAAATCAAAATACTTAGAAATAGAGATTTTCCATATGATTCAACGAAAGCTTGGATTTACTTTGTCACAAATAAAAGTAAAAAGATACTATCTAGGGTGTGTTTGACATTTATTTTCCAATCTGTGAAAGCTCGATCTTAATAAACTTAGAGATTTTCCAGTTTATTGGGAGCTTGAAAACACTTCCAATTTAAAAAAAAATAGATTTATTAATTTGATGGTTTCATCGTTAATCGTTACTATAAGGATAGTATTTTATAGATAGGAATAAAATGCAAATTCGGTATCTACTTTTCAATTTAGAGAAACTGAACCTGTTTGGAGCTTCATTTGTTGAAAAGATTTAAAAACTATCTAGGAATAATGAGAACCTATGAAGATAAACTAACAAGTCTCACAGTAGTATTAATATGCCTAATTCTATTCTAATATATTTATACACATTCAAAGATTTATTACTAATACATCTCACTAACATACAACTGCTGTATAAACATTTTTTTATCTCCAAGTTTTGATGAGTCTAAAATCATTATCTTGCATTCATATTAAATTTCTTTTTTTCTAAACGCTACTGCTTATTAACTAATTTAGTTTGGCATCCTACCAAAATTTCACGGAAAACTAATCCGTCTCAACAGATGTATCGTACGGATGAGATGGGTGGAGTTGTTGACACGAATAAACAGAATATCTCGCGAGGTCGAAAATCTATCAAACATTTGAGTTAACCTTTATGAAATATAGACGAACTGGCCATAACCATATCAAATTTCATGAAACGAAAACAGAAAAGGCTGATTAAATTTTAAATAGAACATACGCACAAAGTATTTTAAACTAATAGAGAATTTCCCAGTTACCATAGAGAAGTATTTTTCTGTAGCCTCAACCACCGAACGTCAATCAAAGTGACATATAAATCCGAACACCCAGTTTAAATGGTTTTATTTTAATAAAAGTTGGTGAATGTATTTATCTTACTGTAAATAACAAGTGAACAAATTTTCAGCCTTATCAGTTGGACATTCCGGTTTTTATACTGTTTTTTTTTTAATTCACTAACGCTCTAAAAATGAATATTTCAGCCGCAGTAAAGAATCAACGTTGGCGGATTTTGGTTCTAGACATCCTTTACGATCGGTTACGATGCCTAGAGTACGGAGACCTGTACGATTTCGTCAACTTAGTGAGTTTGATAGGGGCCGTATAGTGGGACTTCGGAAAGCTGGACTTTCTTTTCGGGCAATTGCAGTTAGAGTGCAAAGAAGTGTAGACACTGTGGTTAGGTGTTGTCAGGCATGGCTTCGAGAATGCCGTACGCAAAGAGCAAGGGGCACTGGACGCCGCCGTAGAACAACAGACCGTGAAGATCGCCGCCTAAGATTATTGGCCTTAAGGGACCGTTTCTCCACTACCAGGTCCATTGCAAATGAATGGTTTGCAGAACACGGAAGACCTATTGGCATGCGAAGTGTTTACCGACGAATGAGAAGTTTTGGCTTGTTTTCATACCGGCCACACTGGGTCCTCCCTTTAACTCGAGAACACCGACGTAATCGCCTTGAGTGGTGCAGACAACGGTCACTCTGGGATCAGGAATGGAACAGTATTGTCTTTAGTGACGAGTCTCGATTTTGTTTAGGCATGCACGATGGTCGTGCCAGGGTTAGAAGGCGACGTGGTGAAAGGAGGAATCCACAGTTTTTTGCTGAAAGACATGTTCATCACACTGTTGGAGTTATGGTTTGGGGTGCTATAGCTTATGGTTCCAGGTCATCTTTAATCTTCATCAGAGGTAACATGAACGCGCAGCACGAAGTTCTAGAACCCCATCTTTTACCCTATCTTGACACCCTGGCAGATCCAACTTTCCAACAAGATAATGCCCGACCACATGTTGCAAGAGTCACAATAGACTTCTTTCAACATAATGATGTCACATTGTTACCATGGCCACCAAGATCTCCCGACTTATCCCCAATTGAGCACGTGTGGGATATGATGGGTAGGAGATTGCTCAATTTGCAACGTCCTCCTCAGACTCTAGAAGCACCTCGAGAGGAGTTGGTGGTTGCCTGGAATGAGATATCACACGAGGACATTGACCACCTGATCAGAAGCATGCCTAGGCGCGTTGGAGAATGCGTAGCACATCAGGGTGCATCCACACATTGTTAAAGGTCAAAGGGCTTTAAAGCAGTGCAACCATTTTGAAATTATTATCATTTACTTATTATGCTTCATTAAGTACTTATTAAAATAAAACCATTTAAACTAGGTGTTCGGATTTATATGTCACTTAGTATACAAGACGCCATTTTATTCATGACCATATATACTTAGCCTAGAATTGATACGAAAAACAGGTAAATAGCTGATGATCTATTGGGACTCCGCAGTAATCATCGGATTCTTGATAATTCTCTCGTTCCACCAGCTAACAAATCAGAACTCTACGACTCCCGTTTTCCGATCTTGGATATCTCACATTTTATACCATTTTCCGGCATTTGGAATTGCTGGGAGTACTGACACGCCATACTGTCTGAATTGCAAGGCAATAAATGAACGCATGCGATAACTCTGGATGGTTGGGATCGTCTGTAATGTAGTTTATATGATACGGCATGGAGACGCAGATTACACATGATTTTAGTAGTCATACAGAAACAGGAACACCCAGTAATAGTGAACTTATTACAATTCAGCGCTTCAATCGCATCTATAGAGTGGTTTTTGTGATATTGTCTGTTCTTATAAAAAAAAATTAAGTGATAGTTGTGCTTTATAGCATTTGATCATCGCATCGCTCAAAGAACATTTTTCTATCGAAATATACAAAAGGAGGTTTCATTATGTACTTTTTAGTTTTTTGTTGTATTTGTATACAGGGTGGCGCATCGAAAACGAAACAGACGCGTTTACTGGCAGCTCAGTTTTTTTTGGCAAAACGCTCAGACCCGTCGATTTTGTTTTCGAAGGGGACACAAGTTTGGCAAAAAATCACGTTAACACGTGCTGCCCCCTGGGCGGGGATGACACCAACACTAAAATCTTAAATGGAAAGGGGGGTCGAATGATACCTTATTTTAAAGGTCTTTCAATTCCCTTTATAATGATGTAAAGTATATGAGCTTCAGTTTAGTAGTTTTGAAGATTTATTGATTTAAAGCTTAAAGTAGACTTTAATAGGTACCAATATGAAGTCTTTCATGTAATATTTTCTTTGTATACTAGGTGTCTCAGAAAGGTGCTATCTAATAAAGTTATGAAACATATTAGACCCGTCAACCATAAAAATACAATAAAATCAGAGGGGGGTAGTTTATCGCCGGACACCCGTACTTCACGAAATAACCTATCATTTTATTGTCATTTTTGCAGTTTCTACTTATTAAAAAATCTCTTTATTTTCAGATTACTGGTATTGCTGTTCGGAACTTATAGCACAAATGGGGTAAGTTTAAGTTCGCTTTCCTCCGTTCAGAGGTTTTCTCCATGTTTCGTGATTCAACACGTTCTGATCCTGCTAGACGCTCCTGCCTCGCATCTGTACTAATACAGCGATAAACAAGATAAATTTTACTTCTGGAAAAGCCATTCCCGAACCTATAACATCAGTTCATCAGCAGTCAAGCACGTCGTCACAGACCGACAAACAAGTGGCTCTTGTCTATTTTCCTTACAAGATTTATGATTTCTAGTCGGACCAAGACAGAGACGAAACATTATTTCAGCTTCTACATCCACGCAGATGCAGACGATGCTTCCTTGCACAAACTGAGTCAACAATCATTTCCTGCCCATCCGATATCTAACGATGGTGAATCTTAAAAAACCATTTATTATATTGTCAGGGAAATTTCTCACAATCTGGTCGGCAACTTGCAAAAACATACAAGACAGAACGACTATTAAAAATTAAAGTGATCGCCTCACATTAGAATCATAAGAGGCCCTTCTCATGGGTATTTTGTAGCAATGCCACGGCAGCTCACATACGGATCATTCAGATTAAAAGGAACGTTAATTTTTGAACTGTTTATGCTGGGAATGTTGACGAGGTATAGTCGAGACATATTATGCCCAGGCGATACGTTAGCTGCAATAGTGGTAGCGAAATATTGCAAATAATATTTAAAGGCTCCATAACGCAATATTGCTGATATTCTTTACCCCTTGTATCATAAGGACCGAAAAACAATATACAGGGCATCGAAAACGAAACAGACGCATTTACTAGCAGCTCATTTTTTTTTTGGAAATCGCTCAGACCTGTCGATTTTGTTTTCGAGGGGGACACAAGTTTGGCAAAAAATCACGTTAGCACGTGCAGCCCCCTAAGCGGGGGTGACACCACCCCTAAAAGCTTTAATGGAAAGAGGGGCTCGAGTGATAACTTATTTTAAAGATCTTTCAATTCCCTTTATAATGATGTAAAATACATGAACTTCAGTTCAGTAGTTTTGAAGATATATTGATTTAAAGCTTAAAGTAAACTTTAATAGGTACATCATATTAGTTTTTCAGAAGAAATTTGACTAAATAAAGAATCTACTTAATAAGTAAATGCTTTTCTTCACTACGCCCATGGTTTGTTTGAGATGCCAGTAAATGCGTCTGTTTCGTTTCCGATGCGCCACCCTGTATATTCTGGGCGCAAGTCACTGTTTTCTTTGAATCTCGGTATCATGAATGAGATACAAAATAACAAATACGACTACATCTGCATTTCTGTGAACCGAAGTTCTCCTTTTGTGTCTACGCTGTCGGCGGCAGGATGATAGGTTTCGAATTTCGGCCTACCCACACACACACACAGACGCACAGGCCGGACTGATCGCTACAAAGCGATGTCAATCATTCGGGTTACTGCGGCCATTGTATTGACCCGTGCTCAAGCCGCTTGACCAGATCAGATCGTTTGGTAACAGCGAGCGATGTCTGTGACAAAAAATTATAACAGTAAGGTTGCTATAAAGACTGAGGGTGTTCATGAACGGGTCCGGTTTGGCTCAGGCTCCCTCGAGATTTAATTAATGTTTCTTTCACATCTTACATTTAAAATGATGTCTACTAAGTAGATCAAAATGCTGACTGCTTCCATCAAAACAAGAACATGACTATTTAAAAATCAAAATCCAGGAATTTCGCAGTCATCCGTCACAAGGTATGTTTCAGCAACTTCCTTAATTTTTCTCGCAGTAATAAAGATTCGATAAGATACGGGTCCTACCCACTAAAAGGATTTTCTTGGGCCCACGTGTGAGTATTATGGAAATTGAATATCCCGTCTCGGGAATATTTTTAAAAAATCCGGATTTTCAATGTTTTTGTGCAAAAATCACTGACAAAATGTTGTCTGCGAGGATAGTCTTCTGGTAACAAGGCCTGCATTCGTTGTACATGGTGTGGGGTTTTGTTTTCAGCACTCTGTGAAAATTTAATCCGAACATTTCAAAAAATAAAGCGTCAATTTCGAAGCGCGCAAACCTCTACAAATTGTATTTTGGACGAATTTTGTCTACTGTTTCGTGCTGCCAAACCAAGCGTTGCGGCGCAATGTACGGACTAAGACACGTATTCAGATAATTTGGTGGCCCTATTTCATATAATATCGCGTAGATAAGTCGTTCTACAAATAGGCACTCACAATCGCGATCGCTGATACTCCTCGATTTTAAAGCCGTTTTACTTCCCACGTAATTGACGAGGAAGTATTCTAATCGCGAAAAATTTCTAAAATGAGATGTTATGTTTTTTAAGTCATTCGACATCTACATCACGAAAAACTGTATGACTCATTAACTTGGAAATAACCGCTCGGATTTTTATGAAATTTTCACACGGGGTTACTAGTATGCCAAAGCTTTGTAGTTTTAGTCCAGTGGCAACGGTGCTTTAGGCACAAAAATATTCATCTACTGTTTCGTCCTGCCAGTCCAAGCGACGCGACGGCGGTGCGTTCCGACTAAGAATAAATGTATTCAAATAATTTTATATCTTTCCTAAAATAAATTGAAGAACTTAAATTCTAATTCGTTTATTCATGTCAATAAACACAATTATGATTACAAGGGTCGTGTGGTAGATAGTTTTTGCAAAGCAATGAACAGGTAGGCTTTACCTGGATTAAGTACATATCTTGTCTACTGGAATAGGTAGATGGAGGTGATTTTTTTTGCCTTACTATAAAACTCTGTTGTGTATATGATGGAGTTTACTAGAACTTTACAGCTTGTCGTCTGCCTTCTTCTACAAATTTCACCAAATCGAGACGCTGTCAACCTTATCCTCCGATGAAGACGCCACAAAGCACAGTCGTGTGATTTGGTGAATTGTTCGATATGCAAAATCTCGTCGTCACTTTTTCTAAGTTTACCTAAAAATTCTTGCATAGCGACGTCCAAATCAATGTCGTTCATGTCAGGTTTTTGACAGAATTCGCCTTAAAACTATTATAAATTTTCTTTGGAATTGCTATCCGAATTGTTAGTTATGTTTATGTCTACTTTTTTGGTCTGAGTTTCTTTCCAAGATTTTTGCGTTTGAGTCTTTGTTCCATCTTAGTGATAAGCGAGGTTGGACCAAGCTTAGAACGCAAACGTATTTGGACCACATAGACAGGCCGCTCGGTATTGTGGCTCTCTACAGCTGCAGCACATCTTCCATGGTATGACCTCGCAATAATTTATTCGCTTACCTCAATGTATTTTGCGATTATACAGCTGAACTGCTCCACACTATTGTTGTCCTCATCATGAATTAAACTCACTGCATTCGTAATTAAAATGGTCGCTTTTATTGTCCATTATCAACCTTGATAAAAAATTCACTCAAGAACAATCACACCAACCACAATTCAACAACACAATATCGACGAACAGTATCAAGGGTAGATCTATACTAAATGATCACTAGCTGAGTACCAAAATAGGAAACGATTTACATTCTAGATCGCTAATCGAAATCCGACTCTGTTATTATAAAAATTTACCTCCGTACGCACCCGCAGTCATCCTTTCCTCCTTTAAAGTAGCGCCGACCACCGTCTAAGGCCAGCCCACAATCGTTTCCTTTCCACCCCCCACCCCCCCCCCCCCCGTTACCTCAGCAGATGGTGCTCGTGATTGTAGGAGCCCCATTAAAGTTGTAAACTATAAAGACTTTTAGACAAAAATCTATTGACTTTTGGACCATCTCCCGTCTCCACAATGACTACCATAGCGTTTACACCTTGTATATTTAATTCCTACCAAAATATCAAAACTGTACTCAAAATGTTAGGTGTTGATTGTTCTTGTGTGTCCTAAATATGGCTCTTTGGAGACCTTGGGAAAATGCTCCAAGCCAGGAGGAGATGGTTGATGAACCTGTGCAGGCAGAATTCTTTCATAAAGATTTAGAGGAACAGACCCAAAGAGTAATCCTAAATATGTATGATTGTCTGAAAAACGAAAATCCAGATTCCTCGCAAAATCAAATTTTAAACAGAATTTGTATCCTGACAAAAATCAGTCGGTCTACCATTTATCGGGTTATAAAAAGGGGAGATGTAGTCAACCAATCCTTCCACAGAAAGCGCGTAGGGCAAAAATTAAAAAGAATAGACGTGGGTTTTCAGGAAGATATTCGTCGTATAATATACGGATTTTATAAAGAAAATTTGGTGCCTACGTTGGAAATGATACGGGATAAATTAAAAGATTATCCTGAAGATTTTTATAATTACAAATGCTTAGACTCACTGCACTGTATTGTAAAACTGTGTGGTTTTCAATACAAAAAATTAGATAAAAGAATGGTGATTATGGAGTCGTCTCGAATCGTTGAATTGCGCCAAGAATTTTTGCACAAAGTTAAAATCTATAGAGAGCAGAAAAGAAATCTGATTTACCTGGATGAAACGTGGTATGATACCCATGATGTTGTGCAGTACGGCTGGGTTGACGACAGCAACAAGTGCATTTTAAATGCACCATGCAACCGTGGAAAACGAATCATTGGATGGATTTATACCTAATACCTTGCTGTTATCTGTCAAAAATATCAAAGAATCATGTGCCGACTATCATGAGGACATGACCTCCGACTTATTTGAAAAGTGGATAGAGCAGCAGTTAATACCAAACATTTCCCCAAATTCAGTGATTATTATGGACAATGCGAAATACCATTCCCGACAGAAAAACAAAATTCCGAATACAGGCACAAAAAAACAAGACATTATTGATTTTATGAAGGATAAGGGAATGAAAATACCACAAAAATCAACCAAAGCCATATTATTGGATCTTATTAAAAGACAAAAATTTGAAAAAGAGTATGTTGTTGACAATCTGCTTCAGCAAAATGGCCATGAAGTATTACGTCTACCTCCCTATTACTGCATTTTTAACCCGATTGAGTTGGTCTGGGTTGCTTTAAAAAAAAAGTAAGAAAACATAATCAGACCCC